GTACCTAATATTTGATTAAGTAGCTCTATTGAAGGGAGTTTATTTAATTAAATAAATGAAATATTATGTACTCATGCGGTATCCAAGGTAGCTAAAATTCTTTTCGAAAAAGAGTTCAAAAAAACTTTTAGTAAATTGTTAAAAAGAATTGAACTTGATATAAATAATCATGGCAACTATCCTCAATATTTGGTAAAATAAAATTAAAAATATCTCCTTATCTTTATATTTTTATTTAAAGATCTCAGAACTTTTAGTCAGACCTAAGTAATAGATTGAACGTTTTTGACTTTAAAAAAAAAACAACGACGCAATTTATTAGCATTTTTAAAATTCGATTATTATTGTTTTTTTGTTTCCTTACTGATAAAAGTGTGTTACATGTTTTTATTCATTTCTCATATATAAAAGGACTTCCGAATATGATTCAGAAGTATTGTTCGTATTTTATATTGATCAAGATGAATTAGTCGATGACATTAGACTACATGCTATGAATATTGAACTTGTGCCTTACCTATAATGAATAGAATAAAAAAAATTGATGGATAAATGTTTAATAACATCATTAAAAGAGAAAAAACTGCATATAATGATATTTTTAAATATCTATGCATTGGTTGAAGATAGATGGAGAAGAGAAAATTTTTCTAAGTGCTACTAATGTTTCAAAAATAGTTCTTTATTTTATATTTAAATATGAATGAATGAATGAAAGAATAAAATACAATACATTTTTTTCTTCTTATTTAACTTTAACATGTTTAAATTTAAAGTTCATCAATTGTTATAACTTTTTAGTTTTTTGATCATAACCGATTTATTCCTTGTTATTATGATGAACCATCTCGATCAGATTCTTTCGGATCCAACACCTTGGTATGTAAGCACAAAACCTGAAAATAAAAATAAATATCGAAGCTTCAAATGTCGACATTTCGGTATTTGTTGATCTTACCTTATCGAGATTTGGTGTGATTAATGGTGCAGTACTAATAAAAAAAGAACCAGAATTTTAGAAAATTTTTTATAAAAATTGTTGAAGATTAAAAATGCTAACTTACCCTAATTTTTCTTGTTCTTTAGGTGTTGTTGTATCAATAGTTAAAGGAGTTAAAGCTAAAACAAAATTTATTTCAATAGTAGAATTCATAATGTTTGATTTTTAATTGACAACTCAATCGAGTTAATTTAGAAATTTTATTTAAAATATATATGAAAAGATAAAAACAAATTTAATTTTAAAATCTTCTAGAAGTCTAATAATTATCAAAAAGAAAATTCGGACAAAAATAAGATCTTATGTCGACCTTCTCTAATTTCATTTTTAACTAAATCAATAGAAAAATATTCTAATAGGATAAAATAATAATGAAGATAAATATATTTTATTAAATGAATTTATATGGAGACATTAAATAAAATAAATATCTTTTATGCAATTTGTTCTATTTATTATTAATTTAATAATATATAGATAAAAGAAGAAAAACCTAATCAAATTTAAGAGAATCTTGATATATCCTATTAATGATTCGATCCTGATTGACCAGAAGTTCTATGAAGAAAATTTGAATTGATTGAGCCAATATTTAATATAATTATTTCTATATCGATTAAAATTTTATTTCAATCGATTTTTTTCAAATTAAAAAAAATGGTTTCACGTCATTAATTTAATAAGATTTCGTATAAAAATATATTTTGTTTATTTTAATGGATTTTCAAATAATTCTTATCAATAGATATCGAATTTCGAACCATAATATATTTGTTAAAGGTTAATCTATGATTATATTTTCCATTTACGCAAGTCATAACTGACAAAAATCGATAAAAAAAACATTCACTTTTTAACTAAACATTCTATATAATAGAAGGATCTTTTACGATTATCAGAATAAAAATTCATTAAAGATGAAATTATTTAAATAAAATAGTTTCATAATAAAGAATTAAACTGACGCTTACCCATATCAACACTTGCGGTTGAATATTTGTTATAGGCATTCTTGTTGTAGCCGTTGACCGTTTCCATTTTTCTCTGATACTCATTATAAAGTTTTTCTTTTTTTATCTTCTCGTCTAAATAAATAATAAATAGTCATTTTTCAGACGGTCTATTAAAATATCAAACATTAGTAAATTTTACTTACAATAAACCATTTAAATCAAAATATAATTCTTTCCGAATGATTAAATGTTCGCTGTACGATAATTTTTTCTAAAATAAATACCACATGATGATGCTCTTAATAGACAATCAATCTTACCTCAAAGTATACCACGAAATCAGATGATGTTTCTTTGATTTCGACGTTCACCTCGACGTTCTTTTTATAACAATCGAATATGAAATTTTCTGATGATTTTTGCGGTTCAAATTTGACGATCATATTCGTAGGTTGCTTTAAAATAAAAAATATTTTATATTTAATAATGAATATTTCTTACTTTACTATCATCATGCAAAAAGAAGTCATCAGTAATCATAACAGCATGATTGATAAATGACTATCTTATTGATAAGATTTGCATCATATTTGCTCTTGTAATAATTGCACAGAGCTGAAAAATTTTGTGCGAACGACATCTGCAAAAATATCAAAGGTAATGTCTGTTGATATTAACCTCTTCTTCAATAACAAAAGAAAGAAAGAAAAAAAAACATTCCTTCTCTAGAAATTTAAAGAAGAAAACTTTATAAAAATCTTTTTTTTCTACTTTTAATAATAATCCATCTTCTTCATATTTTCAATTATCGACATCGATGCTTGTTCATTAATTATAACTGCTTTATCATGGAATTGTTGATGAACAAGTTGAACTTTAAAAAAAAAACATTGGATGAATGTCAGATAATTGATATCGATTAAGATCAAATTGAAAGGTTTTTTATGATGATGGTTCACTTTCTATCTTTTAAATAATTATTATATTAAAAAAAAAACTATGTAATACATCTTCAATTGTTATACATTTGTATGGATCCATTAATAATAATCGATCAAGGAAATCAAATACAGCTTCATCAATATCTGCTACAACTAAATCCAATGATAAAAATGATTTTCGATGAAAATTTGTGCATTGTGATAAAGTTCGACGAAGAATATTTCATGATTTATTTGACATTGTTGAATATGCTACTTTATGTTCATGTGAAAGACAGCCTAATGAACGACAATGACGTTCAATAACAAGACGTAATTAATCCAAATAATGACGACCAGGAAATAATGGTTGACCAAATATAAGTTCACCAAGTATACAATTTACTGACCACATATCCATTGCTGATGTATAAGTTCCATCACAAAGCATTAATTCAGATGCACGATACCATCGTATACAAACTAAAATAATTTTTTATTGAAAAATTTTATTTATTAAATTAATAAAAAATTGCTATCACCAGTCATTGGTGTTTTTGCTTCTTCTTTTTGATACACGAACAAAACAAAAATCTTCCATACATACATTATCATCAAGATCAACAAATATATTACTTGGTTTTAAATATTGATATACTATAAACAAAACAAAAAACACTGGATTGAAATTTTTAAATAGCAAATAATATCCTTACAAACTTTAGCTAAATGAATAAATTTGAATGCTCGTAAGAATTGATTTAAAAAAATGTGGAATATGACTACCTGTGATAATACGTTTATCCGTTGATCGTTGATGATTCATTTTAATAAATTGATCAAAGATCTAAATGCATTAAATTAGTTACAAGATCTATTTCACGCATTTGTTTAATTGATGTAGCAGATCTATTATAATACAGTACTTGAACTATATTAGCAGATCCGACTGGTGTTAAAGCACATATTTAACATAATGAATGATAATAAAATAATTTTTCCTTAACAACATTTATTGAAAGTAATATACTTTTGTTTTATTGCTACTTTACGTTGAAATAAATAACCATATGCTAATATAACTTGACCATAAGCACCAGAACCAATCATTTTAGGTAACGAATAACGAGAACGAAAATATAACAATACATGTCCATCAATAATTATATTTGTATTCAATCAAGATTATGTAGAGCTATATCGTCAATGAGAACCATCCAGACTAAGATCATTACAAATTATAGAATATATAGAAAAGAAAAAATTTTTGTTTGCTTTTTCAAATACAAAACAATAAAAAAAATATCTATATGGCTTATGATTCGTGTCACGAGGCAACTTCGATCGACAGTGATTGCACATATACGATAGAATTCTATTTATACATAATGATAATAATGATGATATCGTATAGATTCGATAGAGAGATAGAAAACAACTTTTCTTGCGTTTCGATACTAACACGTGATTATACAATGGTGTTGTATGCCTTGATCCAGGGTCATATGTATTCATCATAAAATCGACCCATTTTATCATAGAGAAATAACGAAATATACAAAAACGAAAAGTAAGATAAACAATCGAAATAAATGATAAATAAAAAAGAAAAGTATAAACTCTTTTTGAATAATAAAAAAAAAACAAGAACATTCGTTCTCTAGAATTTTTTAGAAGAAAATTTAATCTTTCTCTATTTTGTTTTAATAATAATCTATCTTCTCTGTATTTACATTTGCCACCATGGATGCTTGTTCAGTAAGTATAAACGCTTTATCATTTTACTATTAATGAACAAGTTGAACTATTTTGAAAAGAAAGCATTTGGCGAATGTTAGATAAATGATATGAACGAACTAAGAGGAAGTTGAAAGGTTTCTTCTGATGATAGTTCATCGCTTGCATCTTTTCGATAATTATTAAATAAAGAACTATGTAATGAATCTTCCTCTGTTAGATATTTATGTGGAACCATCAACAATAATCGATCAAGTAAATCAAATGTCACTTTATCAATATTTGTAACAGTTGAATCCAATGACAAAAAATAATTTTGAATGAAAATTTGAACATTGTGTTAAAATTGAAAGAAGAAGATTTTAAGACTTTTTAGATATTGTTGGATAAACTATTTTATGTCGATATACAATAAAATCCAATGAACCATAACGACGTTCAATAATAACATAATTGATCGAAATAATATGACATCCAAGAAATAATCGTTTATCAAAAAACAAGTTCACCAAGAATACAATTAGCTAACCACATAATTTATTTATTGCTGATGAATAACTTCCATCACAAAGCGCACGATACCATCATGTACGTACTAAAAATAATTTTAATTCAAATTTTATTTGTTAATATAATAAAAAATTATCATAACCAGTCATTGATGTATTAGCTTCTTGTTCAGATATACGAGCAAGACAAAAATCTCCAATACATATATTATTATCAATATCAACAAAAATATTACTTGGTTTAGAATTTCGATTTACTAAGAAAATAAAAGACTATATTTAAATATTTTAAAATATCAGCATAATATACCAGTGATGGATCTAGGATTTTAGAAAGGGGTGGAGCGGATATAGACAAAAATCACATTTTAGTGTTCATTCATGATAGTATAAACTCGTCTTTCGTTCACTTTTGCTTGGAAAAATCAAAAGAATTTCTCAAAGGGGAGGGGCTGAACGCCGGTTTGAAATTTCCCTCCCTCTCCCCTCTCGTAAATCTGTCACTGTAATATATATACAAACTTTAGATGAATGGATAAATTTTAATGCTCGTAATAAAAATCAAGTCACAAGTGTATCATGAAAAAAAATTTCTCGACTACCACTGTTAACATAATCGAGATACGCTAGAATTCTTAGGGTTATAAGTAGGAAACTTTTATGTGCGATACTCAAATATAAATGTGATTTGTCATTTGACAGAGTTCGACAAGTCTTTCAGAATGATATATAAAGCATCTCTGAATCTGCCTATGGTGCCATTTGAAGGCAAAACATTTATACAAGAACGAATTTTGAAAGTTTAGTAAAGGTTTACAAAAAACACAAGATAGAATACGATATCTGTTCTTTTCTACTAGTTTTCTAATTAAACAGTACGATCTAGAAGCAGCACATAGTTAGTTGATAGTTCCTGGAACAACGAATAGATTGAAATATAATACATTGAATTTATCTTTACTTCTAGCACAGTTATTCATCAAATAATTTCTCGTGACATTTAGTCTGACAATCGAATTTTAAAATTCTGCTTT